GGTGCGTCCATATGAAGTCTGTTTCTCATTAGGTGTTAGGGCTGCACGAAATTTTTGTTTTAGGACGTGCGATATTAAGTAGGCAAATTAACTCAAACACGTCATGTTACAATTATTTTGCTGCTTGCTACAAANATGGAGATGGAGGTTATAAATCTCCAAAATCATGTTCAGCTTAAGTCTCAGCAAAACTCACAACATTTCTGGAGCCTTGTAGACCCAAAAAACTATAAGTCTTATAGTTTTTTGGGTCTACAAGGCTCCAGAAATGTTGTGAGTTTTGCTGAGACTTAAGCTGAACATGATTTTGGAGATTTATAACCTCCATCTCCATCTCCACAGGATTGACACTGAACAGTTCAGCCATCTTCTTCTTTTTCTTCGTCTTGACATGAAATTATAAACCATAATAAATCAATTGTATAGGCCTAGCCTCCCTATATCTGTGTGAAATTGTTCCATCCCCAAAAACAAAAAACTAATGCTTCTGCAGTCTAGCTGCAGCTTCTAGCAATGGTCTTCTGTTAAAAAAAAGGAAACTGAAGGTCCTGAATGTGGCCTCACAAACATGACTTGAGTCTGAACCTATGGTCTGAACACACACAGCAGACAACAGGAGTATATACAACAGCATATCCAAACAAAAATAGTGCATGTGGGTGCACACTTATTCTCTGTTTTACTGTTACATAAATCCCATGAATGTATGAGATTAAGTTAGCTTTATCATCTCAATCAGTGATTAAGTGAATAATAACGTTTCTATTCTATCAGGTTACTATCAGCCTGTCACTCATTATATTTAGGGAGGGGGCGGGGTTTGGAGGAACAGAGGAGACGGTGATCGCGGAAGCTTTTTTCCTCCTGCCTTCACAAACTTTACACAAGTATTTATCAACTGAAAATAGCAAGAGGANGTGTGCCTTGGCAGACACAACACATCAGTCCGATCCTTTCTGCCCTGCACTGGCTCCCTCTCCATCTCAGAACCCAATTTAAGGTAGCCTATTTGTTTACACATATCTGTCCTTGGCCAAGCCCCAGCCTACATTAACGACCTTATCCACCCTCACAGGACAACCCGGGCCCTGAGGTCCTCCAAGCAAGGCCTCTTAAGGGTGCCCCGAACCAGGCTAAAAACTAAGGGGGACCGTGCCTTTGAGCCGGTGGCCCCAGGCTTTGGAATACACGTCCCCCGGAAACTGAGAGCCTCTGTCTCAATAGAGATTTTTAAGGGGCAGCTAAAGACTCACCTTTTCCGACAGGCTTTTGGGGCGTCGGAGGAGGTGAGTTTGTAGCTGTTTTTCATTTGTGTTTTATCCTATCTTTTACTTGCTGTGTTTTATGCATTTTGTTCTACATTTGATAGTTGTATTGTGTATTGTGTATTGTATGTAAAGCACTTAGTGTTGAGAAGGGTGCTATATAAATAGAGTTTTACTTACTTACTTACTGATTTTAAACTGAAGGTATACGTAGGTCCCTTTATTGCTCATCCACAATGATACAAATATTCATATATGACAAGAAAACATAATAAATAGGTTTCTCCTTCTTGTCAAGTCTAGCTATATGAGGCTGCATTGATTTAGAGCCACTGTGTCACATGACATGGAAGCTATTGAAAATAAATTCAATTCTTAATTTAAAACGTTCAATGAAATAAATATTGGACTGAAATCCAGTATGAAGTGTAATAATACAATGACTCACTAATTTGAATCCACTGGTGCCTGGCACATCATAAAGGTATGCCACTAGACAAATTATTCCGGGGCAAGGTGGCACAGAGGTATTGAAAATAACAACAGATTTGTGGAAATGATGAAACTGAAACCCCAGAGGACGCAGTTCAATCCAGAGCAAATGGCTGTCAAATTTCAAACCCAAAACAAAATTCGCCGTCACAAATCAGCTTTAGACAGACAGTTGTATGGAAGAGGGCAATAAGGTCAAACTGAGGAAATAATATGCGATTGCATTATTAATGTTATTTGAAATAAAACGAGTATGCTATGATAATTAAAGACAAAGTGAAGAATACATTCAACTTTTAGAGTTTTGAGCTTTGGTAGATCGTTTTTATTGAACATACTACAATTACAATCATGTAATCTTTACCTTTTGTTGACATTATACTGTACTGCAATCTGTTTTAGTGCACTCTAACTGGCTTTATAGCATTTTATGTGAGTCAATGACACACAGACACCTGATGGCCAGCTCACACAGCAAACAGAATTTCTCAGGTCGCAGGTTACAGATCGATTAAAGACACGCACGCACGCACACACACACACACACACACAGCCAATTAGGATTGTTCCTGTTCCATCCATTTAACTCCAGGCTCTTGTTGTAAGATTTGGTTCTAAGAGAAATGGGCGACTGCTTGTCTCGTTCAGAATCCCATTAGGGTGGATCTTATCTGCAAACAACTAACTTGCCTGTTTGGATTTTAGAGTAAATATAACATTTTTACTGTTATAAATACTTATTTCAAGGTTTGAAATGCAATTAAAAAATATATAGATGTGATTTCAAAAGTCAGTACAATAACAAAACTAACTATAAGTTTAGTTTCACAATGAAGTGAGTTTTAAGAATGATACTTCAGTTAAATCATTCATAGAACATATTTTGACAAAATTAATCTTAATTCTTATTAATGATATAATTTGAATACCAGAAATGCTCTGTTTAGTTTCCTTGATAAAACATTCACCATTTTTTATTATAAATACTATTATATTTGCATCTTAACCACCAGGAACGTTGCTTTGACTTGGTAATATTAAAGATATTATAAACCACACATACAGTATATGTATTTCTCTCAGGCTGAATTTTGATCCAAACCCTTTGTTGTTGATTATGGCAGCTGGGCATCCCCATTCAACAAATGTCTTAAACTGCACTTCAGTTAGATCTTCATAAAGGTGTGTACAATAAGACATTCAACCCCTGCCCTGGCTGACGGGCTGGTGACCGAGGAGGTTTTGGAGGCGGACATTGAGAGAGATTTGATATCAGTCGAATTCAAGCAGGGAGACGGGGCACTCATCACTTTTGTGGCGGACTTCAAACAGGATGTGAAGATATTCAGAGCGCTGATCCTGGGCAAGCTGGAAAGAGGACAGAACCAATACCAAACTTCATGTTTCAAAACTGAATACTGTAAACATGTAGGAGTTTTGTAATTAAATAAAAGACAACAACTACCCACGGTAATGAGAGGGAACCTTTTTCTTTACACCAGCTGCTGATCAGTTTGCTAAAAAGCAAGTTTCTGTTAGGTCAAATTGCATAAAACACTCTTCTTGTTTGAATTCAAATGAAAAACCACGGATTTGACTCAAGGCACAACATCAGCAATCAAAGCTATAGCGTTTATTTAAAGAGTACCAGAAGCACTTGTTTACAGGTTGTTAGTTTGTCATTATGTCAGTCAGCCTGCTGATTCCACGTCATTTAGGGTTTTTAAGGTCATTTTCTTCACCTCTCTTTTAGTCCGTCATTGAGGACAGTCAGACAAACCTGAGTTATTATGATGAGAGAAGCTCTGATTACAGCTATTAATGCACATCAGATAAAAAAAAATACAGACTTCATACCCCAGATCCAAATGTAAATACAATTTTTTTCCCAGCGGCTTTTTGAGTATACTTCTGAGAAACCTTACAGAAAACTGGGAGCCAGAGCAACATAAAAAAAAGACAGACAACATGTTAGTCATCCATCCAGTCTAAATGAATAAACCTGTGTCTGCTGATTCTGCATGATAACCTCACCTCAAAAAAATCCCAAATGAAAGTGCACTCACTGGCTTTTTTGCAGAGATTTTGAATGTATCACAGAGTCTTCATCAATGTAGGAGCTGCTGCTCCATTTCAGTATAAGAACATTATGTTCACTGACCCATTACCCTCACATTGGTTTCTCCAATTTAACAATGGCTGGATCAACAAATTATATAGTGCAACGTTCAGTCAGTTATCTTATGACCCATTTCACCTTTCAGTAATCAATTGTTAAAGAGTTAGAATAGTGTAATTAAGGCTACAGATCTCCAACTCATTGATTAAACTCTCGGCCTTATCCCAGAAAAATGCACATTGTGTTATTTGTGTTACTTCTTATGAAGTTTAGTTAAGCTCCATTAATCTGCTTGGCATTTAAATCTACATATTGTTCTTTCCAATTTAAAGCAACAATGACAAGATTTCAAGTCACTTCTAATGTTTAAAGCAATCCATTTTATTATCTATTTCAGAAAATGTGGTCTATTCTATTATTCATTTGTGGTTTTCTACTACCATAGGGACAACCAAACAGCCAACTGAACATAATATAATTTCATTGACATCCTAAGTGGGACCTCCACCGTTAATGATCGAAATGAAATGTCCTGCTGAGTATCACACCGTGCCATCAGCAGCACCTTAATGACCCTCATGATGGGACTGTCAACATTGACTTTTATCCTCTCATATGGACCCAAACTGCTGTAAAGACAAAGACTACGGGCCATCAAATGTTGTAAACAGATGAAACACCTGTTTGGGAATCACTTTGCATGACTCAATTAGCCTTACAGTGCAGTCGGTGCAATCGCAGCCTTACATCACATAATCACAGAGGAGGCAGCGATCATCTGTGATAGTCAGTTGAAGGTTGTAAAAGGCTAATGCTCCTCTCTCTGTCATAGATGATTGACATTGGTATTGGTGGAGATGACCGGAAACCTAAACGGACTTGATTGTCATGACAGAGTCAAGTCTGTGTGTGGGTGTGTGTGTGTGTGTGTGTGTGGTGATTGGGATGGGCCAGTAGGAGGGAGAAAGTGGAGAGATGCTGAGACTAATGAACTGAAAGGTGGACGGTATATAACACAAGGAGATGCAGGCATTGGACCAAGAAAGAAGGCTCAAGGCGAGATAAAGGAGCAGCTAAACAGACCGGACCCCTAAAGAGAAAACCTCCTCTGTCAGTTATCCAGCATGCGTGCTCTGGGGGTTTTGCCTATGCTGTTGTGTGCAGCGGTGTGTGTGCTCCAGGTGAGAGCTGAGGTGAATGCGGTGAAGCTGTGCGGACGAGAGTTCCTGAGGGCCGTCGTTTACACCTGCGGAGGCTCCCGTTGGAGGAGATTCCTCAGTGACTCAGACATGGACGGTGAGACAACCTATTTTTTTCTCAAAACAGACAGTGTTAGTGGTTGGTGATGAAGACAAATCTAACATTTTAGTTTGGTTTAGACACAGACAAGGATGAATAAGGCAGAAAAACCTTTAACTTGTTGTTCTTCTTTGTAAATGTGGCCTTAAAAAGCTTCAGAAATGTTGAAGTCTGTCTTAAAATAATAATCTGCTTTCTATGAATATGGGGACAGGTTTTGCTGGCAGTAAGCATTTATGCTGATCATTATAGGGTCCTTTCGTCATACGCTTGTTAAAATAGGTTAACGATAGGGGACAACATCAGCAATCCTCCCTCAATGCAAACATGTATTGAGCCATTTATCTGAATGTTTGAGGATACAGCTGTTTGAGTTACACACATTTAGCTAAAGTTAAAACTTCATTTCATTCATAGCTTTTTAAGTTATGAATTTTACTGTGACTCTACTTCATATACTGTATACTGTAAATATCATCATAATAATAATCAATAAGTAACCAATAATATCCTAAAATCAATGCAAAAAAAGGTAGTCATTGTAAGGAGCATGTACAATGTATAGCCTACTATTAATTCCGAGGCTGCCGAGCAGTGGGTGTGCAGACAGACAGGTGCCCCATCGCAGAGACATCGCCTGCTGTTTTACCTTATTAGTGACGAGGATCCCACGTATCATGATTAAATACACACAGTGTGTTCCCCGGCAGCAGCCTCTAACTCTCTCCTTACTGCCTGTCACACACAAACCCCGTTAGCCTATCAGTCGTGCTGATTAGAAAGAGTAAAGTGACACTGGAGAAGACAAATGGCATGGAGCTAATCTGTGCAATCATTTAGAGTTTCCTTATTTAAATGGGAACATAGACCTTAATTACATAAAACTGATCTGAAAACAGTCCGACGTCTATCATTATGTTGTTAAGTGTGATACTTGGAAAACTGACATTTGCAGAGGATAAGTGTGAACCTGGTTATCAGACTGCATTTCCACAATGTGTTTTACGTCAAGCTGTTTCTTTACCACCTGTTGTGTTTTGTAGTTCCAGGTTTGCCCACAGGGGAGCAGAGCAGTTTGGAGAGGCTGACCAGAAGCATCCCGGGCTCCGAGTTCTCCAGACGGGACATGAACAACGTGCTGACCAGCGTGTGCTGCCAGGTGGGCTGCAGGAAGAGCGACCTCACCTTCCTCTGCTGAGGCCAACCCCCCTCTCCTCTTTCTCTCCAAAGGACTCTGCTCTTTACCATCTCACCTTAGAAAATAAATCAAAGTACTGATGTATAAACAACATGATCACTGTACTGTATGTACAATAATGCTTATAGACACTTTTTTTCTAATTGCTTATGATATTTTCTCTGAGATATTAGAACTTGTAAGGTTTGCTGATGTGAATGTGGAGCAAATCTGTTAACATGTCTCTGAACCTGAGCTGGAAGATATGTGTAACCATAAAACTATATATTCATTAAAATATAATTGAAACTACTGTATGATAATTAGGAAACTATGTTAAGGTTAGTGCACTCAGGGACTATATTACTTCCCCCTCAGAGAGGACAGATATTAAGTCTGGGTTTGTGTCCCGTATGTCACCACAGGGTTGCAGGTTTATAAAATGTCCATCTCTGCTTTAAATATATTGTAAGTAAACTTGCACTTTATTCTATCATTTCGCTTTTTGGTCAAATAAATGTTATTGCATGCTTACATTTTCATCTTTTTAAAATTGCAGTTTTGAGCACTACATACGACGAGTCAATATGATCGTCATAACATCAACATGTGACAGAAAATTCAAAAAGGCAATGCTCACTTGGCAGTGTTAAGGCAGGATAATGTTTACCATGTTCAGCATCCTAGTAGGCCTACAGTATGTTAGCATGCTTTGTTTACAACTAGCATTTAACACAAAGGTTGATGTGAATGTCAGTAGTTTTGCAAGTAATTGGTCCTAAACCAAAGGACTGGACAAATATCAATCAAGGAAAGTATCATGCATTTACCAGATATTGTGGGAATCCATCCACAGATCATTGATACAAGAGACGCTGTCATACATCACCAGTAATTCTTTGGAACTACACGTCAGTACGTAATCATTGAGCGTTTTCACTAGTGAACATTTTTGACTTGCTGGTCAAGCTAAATACACATTCAGGGGATCACTTAAGTCAGCAGGACTTATCATGTAGGGACCATGAACTTCTAGACAAACTTTGCAATCTAAACACAAGTTGTTCTGATATTTTAGTCTGGACTAAAGTTGTTGTAAACAAAGCCGTCTCTAGGTACTCCAATGTGTTTTTGTATCTATTCATAGGAAATACAAAATAATACAAATAGGCAGACATCCAGTTATATCTTTTATTGGTTTTGGAAAGAAGCAAACTAAGTTTCTCAGTTGATCTTAGCATTGTTATGTACTGTACAAACAGCTTGCACATGTGTTTGAGGTTAACGGTACAGAACCAAAAAGCATTCTGGCTTATAGCACACATAAACACACTCCCTGCTCTCTTCTCAACATTAATACAGGTAACCGACACTCAGCACAACACGTCATTTCAGTACTATCTATCATCATAGATGCCCCACCTTTCACTGCATGCTAGGCATGCAACAATGAATTACTGCAGGAAGAATTCACCACAGAGATGAAGAACTGGAAAAGACTGTTGAAAGTCTTTAACTAGATGAATTGTCTGGCAACCAACAGACAGAGTGAGTTTAGTACTGCAACACGACTTTCAAGTTGAAAGACATGTTGCCTGTAGTGTAGTGTTTCAAAACAAAAACAAATTCATGATGGGAGATGTGCGGTGGGTCTCTGTAGATAATGCTGTAGTGACTGTTGCACTGATGCTTCAAAATACACAGATAGTCACAGATTCCTGTCAGGCATGTGGATCCATCCAGTTCATTAGAGGAAGGACTGACATGACTGAGAGAAAAATGTTACTAACCCAATGTGGGAGCTAAATGGCACCAATCATCATCACCGTGCATCGATTGACTAAAATGCAACCAGAGAAAAATCTGAAAATACACAGTGCTATTTTAGACCGAGGCCAAACAGGAATAAAACATTACATATTTTAACTGCACAGCCCAAAGGTGATGTTTTTATTAGCTAAAAAACTACATATATTTTAAAACTATGTCTGATTAAAGTACTCTATCATTTTAAAGGAATATTGACATGTTGCTTATAGTCCTTTTTTCTAAATCCAGCCTAACATGCTTGTATGACAGCTCTGGAAGGACCATGATTGGTTGCATTTAGCAGGATGCCGACACACAGTACAGTACGGAGCTCTTCGGCTACACTTCACACACACTTTTTGTTCTTCGTGTTGAGTGTCAGAGCATTCAGGAAGTTCAACATCATCAACACAGTGTTTATTACACATTAAACAATATAATATTTTTTACTTTGAACCGTTAAACCGTGAAAATATTCAGCTTATTCTCCTTAACAGAGGACTGACTGTCCGGGGCACACACACATAAAATACAAAAAAAAGCATTTTGGTCAACTTAACCTCACACCACAACCTCATTCAACTCATGTCATCTCACAGAGACCATTACGAATATGCAAAATAAAGCCATGGATTTAAGCGCTGGTTGGATGATGCGGGGTTTTGCTCATGATATAATCAGGAGTTTGGGTATCACTGAGGGGAATGGAAACAGATCAGAACTGTGGTCAAAGTTAGGGAATAATTGAATAGGCATGTGGGAACTGTTGCATTTATACAAAACCATTTTCAGATGAATTTGGTTTAATACTAACACAAACAAGCTGGTCCCAGTTGACAAATCCTGTTCCAGAAGTGGCACCAGTCACCAAACCTCATCACTGCTCCAGACGAACACTCATTGCTTTTGTTATTATTGTCTCGGCCATATAAAAAGGAAAAGTTCAACATTTGGGAAATATGAGAATGTTAAGCTGGAGCCATGAGACGATTAGCTTAGCTTGGTTTAGCATAAAGACTGGACACAGGGAGAAACAGTTAGCTAGGCTCTATCAAATGTAAACCACAGAGTCTACAGAGTTAGCTTGAGCTAAATGCTAACTCTCTCTTTCACACAATTACAATGCTAAACTGGTGATGTTTAGCAGATATAATATTTACCAGTTTCCCCTTTTTAGTTTAGCATGTTAACATGCTAACATTAGCAAAGTTGCCCACATACAAAGTTCAGCTGCAAGGCTGACGGAAATGCCATTAGCTTTTTCATAAACCAAAAATAATGGACCAGTAGTATTTCACCAAAGTTAAGAAATGTCTAAAGGCAACATATTTAACATGTTTTTATCTTGTTAAACCTGTTAAATCGCTTATTTATGCTAAGCTTAACGTCACCTAGCTCCAGCCTCATGTTGAACAAACAAACATAAGTAGATCATCTTTTATAACTCTCGAAAAAGAAAGCAAGTATTTCCCCAAATGTCAAATTCATTGTTTAAAGGGTGGACCTCGCTAATGGGATAACTCTACATTAACACTGCTTTCACAAAGCATAACACAGCATCCAGGAAGATATTTATATTTTTCTTTAAATTACCCCCCCTCACCCATATATAGCTCAAATCTTCTGTTGAGTTAAAAAATTATATCTGAAATCAATTCAAAAATTATACCTTATACTGTACACAGGTTACCCAACTACACAGATAACAAAAAAAAGAGAAATATTTATACCTTTAAAGGTTCTGAGTCGTGTGATACCATTCAACTTCTATTCTTATACAGAATCACATGTTTTATACAACAAATCATCGTCATCAATAAATAAAAATAGAATGCTGTCATGAACTCTGGAGTCTATCACTGCTGCCCTGGGAACAACAGAAAGGCTATCGGACAATACGAGGAGAACACCAAACGCCCTTTAAGATATATATTATTGATTTAAAATGACACTTTATACACATCTTTTTTTCTGACGGAAAAACTGATTTTTCTTATTTTGCAACCAGTAAATTGATTGATCATTGCAGCTGCCTAACTAACTAAAAGCGTCTCCACGTCTGTGTTTTCAGGCAAACATAAAATTAACAGTTTGATTGACTGATCAGTGCATTTATATAAAAAAAAAGGATGAGATCCAAAGTCATGTGACCCTGTAGTACCAGTAGGTGATGCATGAAAGATCTAGTTTTTGTAGTTACTTGATTCCGTTTCAAGCACTGACAAAAACATTTGTTTCCTCTAATTGCTCTTGACAACCTGTCGAGATGCACCCGCAGTTGCATTTACTTGCTGGCCAAACAGCTGCAGTCAGGGCGAGACAGTGAGGACAACTGTCTCAGGCGTCCATCTCAGACTCTGACAGGAGGATTATTTAAATAGCGGCTTTTTCTACCTATTAATGAAGTTGTATAGCTTTCTTCATATCGTCTTGGGCCCTGCTTCAACCTAAACTCATCTAACTCTGGGGTGTTAGCCCTGTGTTAGAGGCTGAGGTGTGTCTCTGACTGCAAATATCTTATTTAAGGGTATTTTTAAGAGCCAAATCTTCCTGAACTCTGGACAACAAACAGCTTGTCACCCGGAGTTCAAATCTGGCTGAAACTCTTCTGTCAGGCAGCTGCAGTGAAACTTAAAAACAACACCACCACCACCACCACCACCACCACACATTGACCGCAGGAGGATGGAGACAGAGGCACAAACTTCAGAGGGAGGAAGAACCCAGGTGTCTCACTGCAGCAATACAGATGTTATGAAATGAATACAAACACAATAATTACATGACCTAAAACAGTTTCCACGATGCTATATGCAAGTTATACAATACTGCTGGGTAGGCTGCGGTTTGTCATGTGGGTTCAGTAAAGGTCAACGGGAAGTCTGGTCTGGTGTCGGTCTGGTGTCGGTCTGTCCTCTGTCCTCGGAGTCAGCCTCAGGCCACTTTCATTGCTTTGTTCAACAGTGCTGTTGTCAGGAGCATGGGTTAGTTGTCGGCAAGGTATTTTCCTGAAACGCAGGAAAGAAAGTTTAAGCTTTCACATTAAAGTCTGAGTGGATCTTTGACAGGAAATTGGTAACTGCAGAGAAGAGCTGCAACTATAAATACATAATACAAAAAATGAATTGATACAAATATCATAATTGGCTACTACAATTAATTCCAAATTGGCAGGACATTTTTTTTTTCCTCTCAAGAAGGGAGAATTCCTACATCAGCAGATTTCCAATGGAGATGTCAAAACATTCACTTATAATATCAAAATAAATAATAATATTATCTACCCTTGAAGAAAGTATCCTATACTTCAAATTTGCAATTTAACGGAGAAAACAACATTTTTAAGCAAACATTTTTAATATAAATAAAATATTAAAAACAATTCATTTTAATTGTAACTGATGAAAAATCTGACTAATATTCTTAGAAATAATTCATAATAATATTTGGCACCAAACATTGGCAGTTATATGTCTAACTATATCATAAGAATAATTGACGAGATAAGCATGGTAAGCTATTAAAACTTCAGTGAAAGCTCATTAAAGTTGATCTAATGGATGAGTTGACATTAGTAACAATAATAATAATTACTGTTTGTTTTGGAAAACCTTTTGAGCTCAAACGCTGTACTGACCTGCGGCAAACCTCTTCTTGATGAGAGAGAAGCGGTACCCCGGCCCGGCCAGCTCGATGTCGCAGCCCGACAGGATGCTGCCCTCGCTGGTGAACTGCACCGCCAGGGGAGCCGGTTTACTGGGGCCCTCTGTTAGCTGGAAGCGTGCCAACAACGATCCCACACCTGAGGGAAGAGCGCCAAAAAGTCAGAAAATTGTAAATCAGGCAGTTTGGTGGAGTTGTTGTAGCACCATTTTTAGACACAAGGGGGCATTGTTGACGTTTGGCAGAGCTGAGAACCACAATTGGGCCCCATCTCTTCCTGAGGAGTATCATGTACTACACTTTATCCCTGCAACCTGCTTAGCTGCATGAATGACTCTTAATCAGGTTCTGAGTTCAAAAACCTGAACTTTTTTTGCCTGTCACAACTTACATTTCCTGGGGCCTTTTATTTCTGTATTTCTTTCTTTAAACACATAGGGCTACCTCCAAATACTGATGCAATCCTTTCTCTGCTGATGCAATCTGATTTGCTGGATACAAAAATAAAAACAGGACTCTCACCTCGGGCAAAAAGGCTATTTTCTCTCTATCAATATTACTAAATGCTAAATGTTATCATTCTGTACGTACCTCCGTTTTCAGATTTCTGCGAGATTTCAGGAATTTTCCAAAGGATTCTTTTCTGCTCCGCGTTCCTGTCAAGGTTACAAGACGACAAAAAAACACATTAAAGATTGTGAGTCATTTATATTCAAACCATTTAAAAGTTTGCTTTCAACTACTTTCAAAACCTGGTGTAATTATTTCTGTGATATATACAGTTTATTATCTTACTGCATGCTGCCCGGTAATATATACGGTACTCAACAGTATAATAAACTTTAGGCTGTACCATGCAGCAGGGGGTAAGACAGCCTGTAGTTTTGACACCCCTCCATCGACAGGGACCAGGAACTGGACGTTGTTTAGGGCCATGGGCGTCGTCATGTTCTCCTTGTTGTATTTGTAGTCTATCCTCAAGTCAGTGCTGGCGGGCTCACATCTCCAGCTCACCGCTAGATTCAGAGGGATCGACTGCAGCCCCTCCGTTGACACCTGCACACGGAAAGCAAACATTTAGGGATACCAACAAAATGTCGCATTGTTTCGAAAGTTCATTTAAGCAGCAACACAATAAATCATTAAGTTTATCTATATAGGTAGTCAAGATATTGGGTTACATCACCTGATACTTGAGCATGTCCACGTTGTAGTATGTCGCCTGAGGCTTCTGCTCTGCCACCTTCTTTAGATGGGATATCAGGTTTGGCATGTTCACCCAGAAGTCCTTGGCATCAGCCTTGGCTTGAGTGGTGGTGTCGCTGGTGGGGAGGCATGAGGAGAATTACTATCAAAACACATATGTACTGGTGATTTGTGTAACATGAAGAATTAGCTGTCTCTTTATGTGGATAATGTATTTGGCGCCTAGTGTCTTTGTTTTAAAGGGAGGTTTGACTCAAACTTAAATGTGCAGTAATGACTTGATGTTGCTTTTCTTTTTCCACAATGAACCACAAGAGGGCCTTATTTACAATGGCTTTACATAGACTATTTAGCATTTAAGGTACTATAAAAGACTTCTTGCTAAAAAGAGTGAAAGAAAATATTTTAAAAACAAGATGCTGTGAAATATTCTTTTTAAGGAATCATATGTAACAGCAATAGTTATTCCCCCATGAGGAAAAACATTGCTACCCATTACATGGTGATGTTTGGTTAGCTTGTAGATGATTCATGAGTTTGAATTGTAATGCGACGGTTGAGTTTTTCGGAAAATAGGAACTTCCCAATTCATCCCAAAGATGATCGATAAAACAAAACAACCCGATCTCTGTCCAGAGAAGTTAACTCACGATGACTCAAAGTACTGTCATCACAAGGGTCAGAAATGATCTAACGTTTACTCATCCCAGTTAACAACAACAACTCCTCCATATGGGATCATGAATATTTTAACTTCCATTTCTCAGATATTTTGCAGTTAAATCCATTGTTCCAAATACAGAATATGTGCATAATCACATCTGAAGTTTTAAGTTAAAAACACAATTAATATATTGTTGTATATATATATGGTTTTCTTGCAAATGTAATCTCCTTTTTCAGTTCCCCCTATTTTAGATCTTGATATGTTAATGTACTGTACAAATGAAGTTTGTTAAGTAGGATTTGTTGTGCAAAAAAACACTAATATGATGATTATGAATAAAGCACAATGAATTGGAAAGAAATATAGCTTATGTGGAGTTTGAATATACTTATATTTGCACAGTTGACCCTATCAACTCATTATTTGAAGTTGTTTTGATTACATTATGCAACATGCTCTTTGAGCCTATCTCAGATGCTCTTTGGGCGAAATCAATATGTAATACAGATTACAAAATGCAGAGTGAGTATTTGATTTGGTTTTAAACAATGGTTTGGTTAAATTATAAACAGTTTTGAAAAATTAAAACATTAGTGGGAATTCCCAAGCATTCATACTTCAACCTCACATGTGAAGAGAATGCATTAAGAGTTATGTTCACTTCTTTGGAGTTAAAAACTGTATTTATGGTGCGTTTCTGAGAGTGAGGTGGTGAGTTCACAGCGTGGTCTTTACCAACAGAGGAGCTGGGGGTTAGGCAGCACATGCTCCAGTCGGCTGTAGTTGGTTATGCTGAAGGTTAGCACGGCGGGGGACGGGTTATTGGCAAAGTGCCGCGTGATTCCCGCCGGAAACGACAAAACCATCTCACCTATGATCTTCACAACACACCTGAGGGGCAGAGGAAGACAAGGAGTGTGTTAGAAAGAGAGGAAGAGACAGAAACTCATACAGAGTAAATAATTGTTTTTTGATTCATTTGTTTTTCTTCCTTAAGTTTTAATTCTCCAAAAATGTCACAATGGGACAGTTTCAGTCAAAATTACACAGGCTGTAAAAAAAACAATAGTTTATAGAAATTATTTTTATTCCTCTCAACTTGCCTCAGAGCAATTTAAACAGAAACCCTGAGCATGTGCAGTGAGGTCTTAAAAAAATGCATTCATATCTGTTTAAATCTAAAGCATTGTGTGGTATGAATAGTTTCTAACTGTATAAATACTTTTTAGAAATATGAAACATGAAGGCAATTAATTACATTGACCAACTCAGGAATTATCATTCACTGCATAAGCAGAATTAACAAGCTCTTTTCCCGACAGCCACACACAGAAAAGGGCAGGGAAATGGCGATCTAGGTCAGAGCATCCCACTGTCCTCCCTGATGTCAGGATTTGCTGTAAATGTGAGCAGATATTTGTTGACCTACTTGCTTGGGTCAGCTCCTTTGAAGAAGGCGTTGACCGTCTCAGTGAACGCAGCAGCAACAGGAAGAGTGTCCTGAGCCCCCATGGTGAGAGGACTGGGCCCTCTAGAGCAGCCTGAGGGCAACACACACCCATGCACACACATGTTAAAATAGTCTGATTAAGGCAAGACACACTCAACCATTGTTCATAATTAGCAATCCAATTAACTGAATGAGTTGCTATTTACTGTCATTATCTGGTTGTTATAGCTAAAGTCAGAGCTACATGAAAAATCTATGTATTTTAGCTTCGACACATAAACATGTATGAATAAAATACATAAGCCAACAGGGGTCAACAGATTAAGAATAGATACATGTTCCAAATCCCCCAACCAGGACTCTACACTCTTCCTAACCAACAGTGTGCGGATTAAATGAAGAACAAAACACACTATGTGCAAACTACCAGGATGAAATGACACCTTAAAAGAGTTTGAAATGAGAACAAATGAGCGTTAGTAAGGTGGTATGAAAACAGCAGGTTAGGTATGAAGAGGATAGCCATTTTCTCTCTGCTCTTTGACTGTGAAGTTGTAGAGTCAAACAAAATTAATTCAAATAATTTATTATTATTTACACAGTACGTTTCACACAGACTTCTATTTGAGTGAGGTAGAAGGGAGATGAGAAAGGGAAGACAGAAGCAGACACAGAGAGAGAGATGTGCATGCTTTTTCAAGCATGCCGTTAAAGCTAAATTATTCTGACAAGATCAAAGAAGGTCAGAGAGCCCAAAGATCAGACCAACAACCAAAAGGACAATAGTGACGACAGAGAGATTAGTAAAGTACAGGAAGAACGATGACCTTTTTCGGAAATGAGAGGCAGTCAGCGCAGAGTAAAAAACGAGAATGAACAATGTCAGGAAGAGAAGTAAGATTGCAAGTTGACTGCATATGAGAGAGCCAGGAGTTAGCATGGCATGGGCTAGGGGTGATGAAGGGATTGCAAAGGAGGAAGAGGAAGGAGAGGGAAGGGAGGAAGGAAAGAAAGGGGCAGGGCAGGGGGCGAAGCTTGCACAAATGAGCCTCAGAAGAGTGTGTGCTGCCCTGGTGTAGAGAAAACTTACCTTCAAAGGTTAAATAAAACTTCCCTCTGTCAAACCATACAAGGGATGGCTGGTCATTCTCTGTGTGGGGTGGAGGGGTGGAGGAAGGAGGGGAGGTGGGGAGAGGAGGAGGGTGGAGGTAGAGGGATGGAAGGGAGGGTTGGGGTGAGAGGGGGGAGAGGAGAGAAGGACAGTAGCGTGAGTTTTTACATGGTAGGTCTATCACACGTCACAGCTGAGTGAAACGTGGGGGTGGAGGCCGGGGACCACAACGAGGGGCAGAGACAGAGCATGTGACATCACGGGTGGAGGTTTTCTGTGGGTGCATGCGTGAGGGTCAGGTGGGCACTGCTGTAGGCTGGCAGTGTTACGACTAAATACAGTAAGCCTATATCAGAGAGGAAGTCCAGGCTGTCGAAGGGGGAGGGGCAGCCAGGAGTGACAGTTTGGAGGTTGCAGGTTTCAGGAGCAGCAGCAAATTATCTCTCTTCTAGGAAGCACTCGATTGGCACTACTTTCTTCAGATTGTTCATATTGCGTTGATATATTTAGGCTTGTCTCTCTGTGTCTGACTGTGCTCACATTTACCTCCGGCCCTCTATGATTATGAAACAAATGGAAGCAGACTGTTGTGTCTAAAAACGCCCTGCAGGGGGAAGCTATGAGACTGAGACCAGAGAGCAGGGGGAGAGGATCTGTGGTGCACAGGGAGAGATGCTCCGTCCCAATGACAGGGGCTGCATCCTCCAGGGGACACGGACTGTGAAGGTGAAGTCTGACCTCACAGAGACCAAAACTAGCTTCAGTTAACAGATCAGTTCAAAGGACAGATACATTGCCCAATACTATCCCACTGCAGAGTATCATTAACTATTTGTCTGTTGGCAGATATAGGAAAAATACATTTTTGAGAGTTTAATACTAATGTCTACATTTCAAAAATGTGGCAGAATGCTCTACAGCTAACAATATCATATTCGGAATAAAATTCATGAGTCATTGTGTAAATGTCTAATTTGACAAAACAGATATTTAAATGACTTCTTGCCGCTCTTAAAAATCTTTTTATTTCGTTTTTTTTAAAAGCAAGCTGATGTATGGATGGATGTATTTGGTATATTCTTTCTACATAGGTACATCAGTCTGACATTTTTAGGAAAAGCCTACATTCACAGAATTAAACTGCAAGACAAGCATGACTTTTCATAATCTGCATGAAAAGAATTCAGGGCCATAGGCATAACGTATTAAATATTAAAAACTGGTCTTACTGGTGTATTCAAAGCTACAGTATCTCTTGTGCAAACACCATTCCAATGATACAAATGAAAGAGTGCTACAGTATACAAAGGAATGGCCATTAGCCAGTACAGCATTATAATGTTTTTTTAATATAATTATGGTGGTAAACTCAGATTAGTTCCTCAATTTAGATTTGACAACGTTCAATTTAATACATATTGACACAAATGTGTATGGAAAGAAATATCTCAATATTAATATGTTCCGATCAGGATGTTCTGGTTCTACAAATTCAGACTGGGGGATCCAGGCCCTGAACTGGGATTCAACTGCAGTGTGAGTGGAACTATTATGACCAGGGGTTGTCTTAAAATACGACACGATTTCCCAAATAACAAAACAAAAAACCAGGACTCTTCTAAAGTTCAATGTGAGCCTGTACCTCGTATAAGAGCAGGCTTGTTCTCGTCCACACTATTGTTTCCATGCAGGTTCCCAGCGGTGAATGTGTGTTGTTGAGTGAGTGGACTAACAGAGTTGTTAGGTGATGAGAGCAGTTTGGTGCCTCACGAAGAAAACAAAAGGGCAGGTGTTCTGAGTGAGAGGGCGGGGCTTTTCAAGTTCTGTTTTTCTTTGGCTTGAGAGTGACAGGTGTGACAGGTGGGCGTCAGGGGTCGAGTGTGGGGGTACACCGAGGCTTTAGTCCTGGTGAGGATTGGGTTGAACCTGAGGCTGTGTCATGCTACTCCAGCGGTAGAGAGGATGGCATGAATACCAAACAGCTGCTGCCTGTCTAATTTGACCTAATTCTCATGCCAGACTTCAAACGACTCTGAGAGCAGCAGCTCTGATCTGACAGTGTGTGTAAGAGTGAGTTTGAGTGTGTGTGTGTGTGTGTGTGTAAGAGAGAGAAAAACAGACAATATGGATCTCAAGGGCCCACATATAAGGAGCTCTTCAGACATGCTCACTGAACACCCAAACACTCAAACAGACTCCTGTGGTGCAGACTGAAGGTATGTGGAAGGGTCTGCAATGCACTCTCTAGACACACACACACACACACACACACACACACACACACACACACACACACACACACACACACACACACACACACACACACAATGTGTCGCCAACAGACAAGGTTTCCATAGTGACATGGCAAGACAGCCACTGGTGCACAGTCATAAAACAGAGAGAAAAGTCTCACGAGG